CAGCACCAAAGATAAGACCCCAGCCCAAGCCCATGCCAAAGCCACACAAAGTCAAGGCTGGGGGGTCCAGAAAATAAGCATATTGCTCTGCGGGGTGAGTGTGGCCGCCAAATCCCTGATGCGCAGGTCTATTCAGCTGGTCTAGCTCAGCTCTCAAACAAGAAGACCTATGCCATGTTTGATCTGGTGATCCCGCTGCATGCCTTCCACGATCCGGCGAGGGACACCAGGCACATGGGCACGAACCCCGTCATTCAGGTGAGGATTGCCCAGCATCCCAAGTTTGCTGTCATGCTGCCCCCTGGCTTCAGAGCTTGCTGGCGCGGGTTTCAGTCAGACGAACCTTTGTCAAACTTACTTGGCGCTAACTGAGGAGGGGGCTTTTTTGCTGGCTCCAGTGGCTCAAGGCGATCAAGACGCCACAGACCTTCAGCCTCTGCTTTGCCTGCAGTGCTGGTAGACACCGGAGCGTTGCTGCAGCAATCATTGTCCACTGGCTGCTGAAAAGCAGCTCAGTGCAATTTGCATGTTGGCTTGGCGCTTGGCACGTTTGCATAGATGTGTCAGCCTGAGGCCAGCTCTATGAGGTGGAGCTGCAGCACCTGGCAGAGCGGTCGTGGACTGGCTGCAAAGGCTGGTGCCGTGACTGCACCCAGCTTCCTGGCTTACAGTACAGCATGCACATTCTTCAAATACATTTCGCACGTCACGCATCCTTGCCACCATCCTTGCGCACTAAGGCACTACCTCACACCTTCCCAAGATGTGAGACAGCTCGTCTCACAGACGTGGCAGGCGTGAAGGCTATGGGATCAAGTAGGATCCAGTGCTGCACTCCAGCCTTCTAGTGGCTAGAGTGGGTCTGGTGGTCTCAAGGGCCCATGGATGTGGCAGAGGGGGAAAAGTGCAATGCCCGGCTTCAGCCTGCTGATCATTCATGGCATGCACAATCCGTCGCACTGGTGCCTGCCAGGCAGCCCTCGCACTATGCTAGGGCCTCAGCCAGAGCATGTCATGCATCTCACACCTGCAGCATGCTTGCTTTGGCCACACTGACAAGCCCATCCAGTACTCAGTGCCCGCAAAGAGCAAGCCACATGTGCATCACGCATGATCGCTCTGACTGACAGCCGCCTGAGGACTGTTGGACCATCATTGGCCATGCCTGGGGCCAAGTGTGTGGCCCATAACTGGCCAATGAGGGTTCAGTGCAGCCCTTATAATTACAGCAATCAATGTCTTCTCACCCAGCTGGTGTAGCAGCTAGTGTAGCAACTTGCATGTGCAGCCACATTGCCTTGCAGCCATTACAGGCACCCTGCGTGGCACTGCTTGGGTGTTTGCCTTTTGTTGGGGCCTTCATTTTCCTAAAGCTTGCTTACACTCACCCATTTGGACCTTGTGCACTCTGATGTTTGCACGCATTGATGCTTGCATGATCTCTGCATGAAAGGCACATATGGGATACATATGAGAAAAGTATGACAATCGTATGAGAAAATTCACATGCTAGAACTGAGAAGCTATAAGAAACCTGTGAGACACTTGTGAAGACACACATGTCTCAAGATTCCCAAGTGTTCTCATAGCTTTATGTGACCTGTACTTGAGAAAATATGATAAAGGTGTGAGCAAACATGATAACAGACTAATATGCACACCATATGAGGAACATATGCAAACATATATGATCATACTTGTCTCATATGACACGCATGAACATTTTGAACATATGAGAAGCATGTGAGAAACATATGAGACAAGTATGAAGCACATATGCGACAAGTATATGAGACATCTGAGAAATGTAACTGCGTTTGAAATGGGGAAACGGGGGAGCATGAGAGGCATGCCAGAACACGTGGGAAAGACAATTGGGGAATGCCGGAGAACATATGCAGGAGCTGTCTGGGACACACACACACACATGATAAGCATGGATGTATCATGTGGCTCCTTGATGCCCCTTGTTGGCTTGCAATGTGTTCTTCACACACTTCTCACTCGACAGTTTCTATTTGGACACACGCACACATGGTTACTTGCCATCAGTGGACTTTACCATTGCACTGATGAGCTCATAATGGGAAACCTGCCAAGAGATGCAAACATGGGAAGTGCAACTTCCTATACTTGCATGTCTTGTCACATTTCCCTCCTGAGCACCTATGAGAAAATATGAGAACATGTGGGAAATGCATGATAAACTATGAGAACATATGAGACCTTGCCAGAAGTAAATGCTAGGGACTATGAGAAACGTGATAAACCTATGAGACATATGGGAAAGTATGAGAAATATGAGAAACTATGAGAACATATGATAAAAACTATGAGAATCTATGAGAACATATGAGAACATATGATAAGTATGAGAAATATGAGAAAATATGAGAAACTATGAGAAACTATGAGAAACATTAGACATATGAGAAAATATGAGAAGTATGAGAAACTATGAGAAAATCTGAGAAGCATGAGAAGCTGTGAGAGACATATGAGACACCTATGAGCCACAGTGTGCACAGTGCATATTCTACATGCACAGAGCGCCTTCTGTGTCCACCTCATAGGCTCCGGCTGCCCGTGCAAGGACTCGTCTGCAGAGCACAGGCTACAGGACCGATGCATGAGGTGCTTGTCAAGCTGGTGTCTCAGAAAGGGGGGGGGTGTCTCACAAAAGAAGAGAGTGTCTCAAAAACTTTGGTATGAGAGACGCGTGCAAGAAACATTCTTCTGAGGCTGGTCTAGCACGAGACGTTTGCAACATCCAGTGGCCAGGTCCTCAAGAGCAGACTGCTACTTCAGGGGGGGGGGGGTGGGGGGGCAGGACGGCAGACATGTGCATCATGCGTCTTGGAAGTGTTTCCACTGAGCCAGGTCTAGCACTATCCAGTGGTCTAGTACAGCCCAGTGGCCAGGGCCTCAAGTGCAGACTGCTACAAGTGCGGGGGGGGGGCAGGACATCACAATAAATCATCAGGCAGGAGAGAGGTCTGTAACCAAATCACGTCATGCATGACGGATGGCTTGACTGACATGATGCCTTTGAAGCCTGCAGCAAGTTGAAGCTCCAGTAAGCTCTGCTACTTGCCATCATGGCAGCGTTAGCTCCCATCGCGCCAACGCCAATCTTGACGGTCGACTTGATCATCGAGTTTGTCACGGACATGCCCGCGGTCCCCTTCTTCTTGCCATCGCCTCAGAAGCCGAATCCAAGCAAGCCAGGGGTTGCCTGATTGAGTTCAAATTGCACACTGGCAAGGCGAGTGGTGAATGACAGCACCAAGAGTACTCTGGCACAGACCGGGTGGAAAGACTCTAAGGATTCCGTCCGACTCTTAGCCATGCTTCACTCGCAAGGGATGCTGCCTGGCTAACTGTCACGCCCAGGTCTTGCAGCACAAGTGCTTTGCAGACTTGTCGGAGCACGCCTTCCTCACGGTGTCAGCCATCAACAAGTCCGATAAGTGAAGCCCTGAGCATGCATCCTGCCTAGCACACACCTAGTTACACTAGTGTTTGGCACACATCACATTAGTGCTTTGCTTGATGACTCAGGACCATTGCGACCTTCAGCTTTGCCAGAGCCCCAACAGAGAGCTCAAGTTGCTAGCATTGGCTCTCGCATGGCTTTGGAGTGGACCAAGCTGCAAAGCAAAATCCAGTTGCCAGCCTTGCAAGGCCACCTCAACGCTCACGTCCGAGTACACCATGAAAACCCTGATGAACTCGACTGGTCAGACCCTCGGGCTTCGGGCGAAAGTGCGCGGCGACTGGCATTCTGAACAAGCCTTCCACGGGCTAAGACGCGAAGGCTGGGCGAACAGATCCATGCGTTGCTCCCCTCAAAGGGTGCCTTGCCTTGCAGGCCCACAGCAGCCACCATCAGCCCCGACCGCGGAGGATCTGGAGCTGGAGTCACTGGACCATGTGGATCACGCAGATCCAGTGGATCCAGTGGATCCAGTGGATCGAGCGGGTCGAGTGGCTCCGGATCTGGTGGGGTCCGAGTCAGTCTCGTCCTGGGAAAACGTGGGGTCCGCCAGCTTACCGCACGCCAGCTTCAGCAGCGAGCCAGAGCCCGCCAGTCCACCGAACCCAGAGAGCTCATGGACTTGCTCTGATGACTACGATCGCTGCCCGGACCTCAGTGTGCCATCAAAAGGACTCCCCCACTTGTTAGCCACAGTCACTCGCCATTCTGCCAGATCCGCACCTCCACAGCTTCGACAAGTTCTACCTGAATCTCGTGGAGAATCCGGAGTCTCTTGGTCTCGCTGGCTCCGCCGCCCGGCCGCATTGACGCCACGCATACATTCAATGTATACTACTCTGACCCCACACAGGCATGCGCAGGAGTGCATTAGTATGCATTTCACACTGACTTGCACCTTGATGCACGCCCACACAGTGCGCACGCAATTTGCAGCCTCTCCCCCAACGCACATGCAAGCAACAAACTCAGGACTACCTCCAGGACTTCCGGTGGACGTACGCCGGTCTGAAGCCCAATGGCACCTATGCCGGTGGGCACATCACCATGCAGACGTGCCCCAGCCTCTTGAGCACACACCCATGTGCCCGCAAGCCTACATTCTTGCAGTGCCCTCCAGGTACTTTGGAACCCACATTGCTTCCGTTGTGACCCTTGTCATCGAGTCCCTGAATGCCAGAGGGCAAGGCATGCCACCAGGGCATCCTCGCTTGGCTTCAGACCCTGTCAACTGGCCGCATTCCCTATGGCCCGGTGCTCGCGCAGCACAGCATGCGGCAGGGGTCCTGGAGGTTCACAGACTGCGGGTGGCTCTACCCGGACTGCCTCAGCCCCTGGTTTGAAAAAATGAGGATAGTCGTGCATCCTGACTGGTTGCATTTGTGCTCACTGGCCCTTGCCAAGGTGACAGGAGTGGCTCCAGTGGCTCCAGTGGATCCAGCTTCTTGGCGGCATTCTAGCGTAGCTGCTGCTCCAGCAAAGTCGTGGCTTGCAGCTGCCCGAGGCTTTAACTTCCTGGACCACTACGCCAAGGCCGTGGATCGCATCCACGTGTTGCTCATCTTTGAGGGCAGCTGCCTCAGTGCGGCTGGCGTGGAGCTGACGGAGGACACGACGTCAACCAGGGCGCAGATGAAGCAGCTGTGGCGCTACCGGGGCAAGGTTGACTGGAACAGCTGGTCCCTCCCGTCCCTCAGTTGCTCTTGTTTAATGCAGGGCACACAGAGCATCATAGCACTCCTGCCTCGCTCAGGTATCCCGGCGTCACGCCCCACCTCTTCAAGGCGGAAGGCATCCTCCGGGACCACTCCCTGAGCTTGGTCGAGGACAGCCTGCCACTGTCCACTCTAGTGCCATCCAGTGGATCAAGTTGGTGGGTCGACCTCTTTGTCACCATGTTCGTGTGCCGCTAGTCTGAACACATAGTAGTGAGCACACTTGATACACCATTAATATGTGAGTTTGCATGTGTGTATGTAATGTAAAGTAATGAATGCAATGCAATGGAATGTGTGTCACATAATGCAATGCAATGCAATGTGATGCAATTCAGCCCACAGTAGCGCAATGTAATGTAACGCAACGCAACACTATGCAATGTAATGCAACGCAGCATGTTGTAATGTAATGCGACACAAAACAAAGGTTGTAATCTAATGTATGCTGTGTAATTGCGGTTCACATAGTGTAACATCATGCAGCACAGTGCAGTGTGACGCAGTGCAATGCAGCTCTGTGCAGTGCAGTGCGATGTGACGTGATGCCACGCGATGCACAACAAACTTTGTAAACCAATGCCGCGCAGCACAATGCAATGTGACGTAACAAGGTGTAATGCCAGGTAGCGTCATGTGCCGTGACAGAATGAAACACACCATTGCATTAATGCGCGACACAGTGCAGTACTGTCATGTCATGTGCAGTACTGCACTGTGTTGCGCATTAATGCAATGTTATGCAAGGTAATGTGATGTAATGCACTGTAATGTAATGTAACTTAATGTAATGTCCATTGTGTTGATACGTATTTATAGATAGACATGTATCTATATATATATATGTATATGTAATAGATATTTTGATCGATAGATGGAGAGGTGTTGATATCGATATCGACGATATCAATAATGATCTCGCATCGATATTGACATGTGTATGGGTTGGGTCTGTGCGTAGGACGCTTGCATGCAGAACTTTCATGATCATATGATTTCCTGAGGCTTCGACTTCCCGCATCGCGGGGGCATCACGATGTACAAGATCCCAAGCGTCAATTGGACATATGGGACGGACTATGTCCCAATGGAGCGGGCCGAGGCGTTCACGATGCCCCATGGCTGCACTCCAGGGCGCTCATACCATGCTTCTGACTCTATGATTCTCACTCCCTTGACTTGCTTCAGGGCTCCGAATTTCTGGCTGGAAGCTCGCGGCGGTCATTGTGCTTATGTCGCCTTCACGGGGACGCGCCTTGGCCGCTCATCGCCCCATCCTTTGTAACTGCCTCATGCTCTCAAAGCTTGGCAATGTCCTTTCCGTGTATCTTGTGCTTCTCCACGCAGTTTGCTTGTCTCTGTGCGAGGCCTTGGCAGCTCCAGCGAGCACTGACCCTGAGTCAGCAGGGCAAGGGCGCCGGCAAGGCACCGGCCAAGCTGGTGGCCATGGAGTGGGCCAAAGGCCCGGCGAACCCCCACGCTCGCACGCGTCCGGTTTTGCACCTTCTTCGCATCGACGAAGAAGACGTGCCGGCAGCAGTTCACACGTCATTCGTGAACTGCTATCAGAATCAGTAGGCACTTGCTTGTTTGGGTCCAGTAGGGTCTAGTGGGTCTAGTGGGTCCAGTAGTCCAGCCATTAGATGAAGGATTAGACTCCCTCGAGCCAACTTTGGGCACCCAGTATGACCCTCTATACCCGTGGCCACTAGACCTCCCCATGGACGGTCTCAAACGGCTCCAGTGCGCGTGGACAGCACACTGGAAGCCAGCCATATGCCTGCCATCTTCCCATCATGTTCAGCCAGTTTCCCCGCAAGGGCTGGGCCAACAACTGCAATGTTTTAGCATGTTTAGCATCGTAATTGCTACAGTTCCAGAAGCCTCTTTTGGGCTGTCCCACCAAAGGGGACTAGGGAATCGCCCACCCCTGCTGCAGGGAGGATTTTGCTGCATAGGTGCAAAATAAGTGCAAACCATCAGTGCGTGCATGTCAGCAGCGCTACAGATCATGATTTATGAAGAAGTGCCCGCCGTGCCCAGGACTACTGCAGGGAGAGCAGCAACTCCCCCATGGCCCTGGGGCTCAGCATTGCCGTTGGCTTGCATGGCAGAGCTTGATGGCAACTTGCCTACTTTCCTGCCTCAGCTTGGCCAAGGAAATGCCAACTGGTCGCGGGAACAGGGTCGGACGGGGCCTCAGTTCGGCTTGGGCAAGTGCAAGCCGTGTCTTCCTGTTGGCTCAGGGAAGCTTATTATCTTGTCAAGTTGCTTTGCCGGGCAAACGCCTGAGGGCAATGCAGCCCCACTGTCATGACATAACTTGAGCATTGATAATAGCTAGCCTCACGATTTCCTGTGTTCTCCAAGTGCTGGCTTCTTTCTCACACAGCTGCGCATTCAGCCCTTTCCCTTGTGCAGATGTTGGTGCGTTGCAAGGATAAACTCACCCACACGGCCACTCTGCCCGCCAGGCAGTCACCGCGCTGGCCATTACCGGAAGCAGCCTCAGACCCTGACGCCGTGCCTGCACCCATGGGCCCGCAGTAGCCTCCACATGTTTTGAGGGATCCAGTGGGAGTAGGTCCATTAGGCACGGGGCTCAAGGGCTAGGGCTGGCACTCCAGTGGGTCTAGTGATCCAGTGGGTCTCAGCTTCGCCATGCCACCCTCAAAGTATCGCCATGTCTACTGGCGCGCCCAGAAGCACCAAGAGGGCTACTTTGTTCAGTTTGCTCCTCGTCTGCAGGTGCATGCCAGTGTGTCTCATCGGCCCCTCACATCCACCTTGCAAGCCAAGGGTGGCAAAACGCACGGGAAGCTGTTCAGCACAGAGCTGGAAGCTGCCCAGCATCTCAAGAAAGAACTTGGTGCAAAGTCACTGACAGAGCTGCGGAGGAGACACTAATGTTATCACCACCACTTCTTTTCTAGCCTCACTTTAGCATCAATGCCAGGACTTCGAAGAGCAAGGCCGTCTCCAAGAAGCGTCCGACAGAGGGCTCAGAAGCAGACAGCAAGCAGGGGCAGCCCAGGAAGAAGATCAAGCAGAAGAAGAAGAAGAGGCTCAACGGAAAGCAGAAGAGCCACCACAGCCACAAGGGCCCAAAGAGCAAGGCCAGTGCAAGTGGCAGCAAAGCAATGAAGACCAGCAAGAATACTAGCAGTAGCAGCACTGGTGAGAAGAGCAAGACTGCCAAGCAGACCGAGACTAGCAAGAGTAGCGAGCAAGGGAAGCCTCAGCCAGCAAAGCCCTGCCTGAAGAGGCCTGCGTCAGCACCAGTGCAGGCGGGGCAGGCCCAGCCCTTCTTTTGAAGATGCCTGCGCATGCGTGCCTCAGGACGCGGTGCCCGTGGACCTCCAGATTCCGAACTGCCTCCCTGCTTCTCCAGACTGGGCCTTAGGCTTGTCTCTCAACCACTCAGCTAGGACTGACCTTTTCAGGATGTGTCTGACATCAGCCCGAATTTGGTCCAGCTTTACTTGCACAAGGACACTGCAGTGCTCAGAGCTTGTGAGCACACCAGTGCCTTTTGAAGGACATGGAGTGGCTGCGATCCGTTTGCCGACTGGTGGCTCTGTCTCGGGTTCGAGTGACTTGACTCACAACTGTAGCAGCAAGGGACTGCATCCTTGGTCGCTTTGCTGCAAGGCCATAGCGGCCCTGAAGTGCATTGAGGAGACCCTGCTGAGCCTAGGCGCGCACACCTGCATCCCAGACCAGGGGGCACTGTGTGGCTCTCATGCACTCTCATATTAGACACTGTTTATCACATTTGCACTCATCACATTTATCATATGTTCTCACAGATGCCCTGAGTGTCTCACACGACTGTCTGGCTTTCTCACATTTTCTCGCACATACTTCTCACACTTCTCACTTGTTCTCATATTATATGCATTGATGGCACCTCATCGCAAGTTTCTCATATCGCTTCACACACTCACATACTTCACCAACTGCACGCTCTGACATCTTCTCAGATGTCTCATAGTTTCTCATAGTTTCTCATATTTCTCATACTTCTCACATTTCTCACATTTCTCACGTGTCTCACATCTCTCATAGTTTCTCATAGTTTCTCATATTTTCTCATATTTCTGATACGTTCTCATATTTCTCATATATTCTCATATGCTTATCATATGTTCTCATATTTCTCCTGGCCTCTCACATTTTCTCATATTTCTCATACTTGGCCCATATGTCTCATAGGCTTGTCACGTTTCTCATTGTTCCTCGCATTTGCTTCTCATATGGTCTCAGACGCTGTCATAGTTTAGCACGCATTTCCCACGTGTTCTCATATATTCTCATAGGTGCTCAGGAGGGAAACGTGACAAGACATGCAAGTATAGGAAGTTGCACTTCCCATGTTTGCATCTCTTGGCAGGTTTCCCATTATGAGCTCATCAGTGCAGTGGTAAAGTCCACTCATCTTCTCACATTTTATCAAGTTCTCATATTATACGTGTTGATGGCACCTCATCACAAGTTTCTCATATCATTTCACGTGCTCACATACTTCATCAAATGCACTTCTGCTCTCACCTTTTCGCACGTGCTCCCATAGCTTCTCACAGTGTATCATAGTCTCTCATAGTTTCTCATATTTAACTGCATGCTTTAAGGTTTTATGAGTGCACTGACTTGCAGGCTGCGTGTTCTGCACGAAAGCATCATGCACGCACAGGGCACAGGGTGCAAAGGAAACTGACAGGTGAAAGCAAGGGACTGGCGCCACGAGTGGACCACTCCTTTGCTTTCCCCCATCAGTTTACTTGTGAGAAAATATGAGAGAAGCTACGAGAACCTATGATAAACTCTGGGAAAATAAGAGAGTGCGCTACAAAATGTGAGAGCATATGAGATGCGCGAACAAGTCTGAAAATGTGAACAATGATTAGCAAGTGCGAGAACATATGAGAGCATATAGTTAAATGTGAGAAGTGTGAGAAATCTACGATCAGCTATGATAAGCTGTGATGAGGTGTGAGAGCATGTGAGAACACGTGAGACGTGTGAAAAAATATGAGAAATGTGAGAATGTGAGAAGCTATGAGAAGCTATGAGAAATATGAGAAAGCATGAGAAATGTAAGAAACTATGAGAAAC